GTTTATTTCGATTTAATAAAATAGTTTTTTAATATTGAAATGAGGGGAAATAAAAACTGATAAATTATATTCCAAAGATATAATATATTCAAAGAATTATTTTCAATAGAAATCGAAATAACTCGATCGATTTAACATATATTATACGAACGGAAGATATTTATTGAAATAAATAAAACTCTTAAATAAATAATGAAATCTTATATTAATATAATAAATCATTTCAATGGTTAGACTAATATTGATAGAAATAAGATTTTATTCAATTTATTTATTTTAATTTAATTGAGTTAACCCTTTGCTGGTGTTTTTTTTGTTAAAAATCTTTGTATAGTTTTATAATGAAATTATTTTATGTTATTATTGTCGAGATAAGATAATAATTATATATTATTGTTTTTCATTAAAAAAAATCTTTATTTAGAAATAAAATATCATTTGTTTTGAAGAGTATTCAAATTGTTAAAAAGAATTGTTCAAATTTAACCAAACGTTTTATATTATTCAACTAGATTTAAAGAATAGTTTTCATATTCGTAGAATTAAAAAAACCAAACTTTCATATTAAATCTTTATTGTTATTTTTTCAAAGCTAATTTAAATAGTTAACTATCTCCTTGTATTTGGTCAAAAATTTGTTATTTATTATATAAATCGATTTCTAGATGAATCTATATTGATTATCTTATTATATATAAAGATTGACAACGAAGATTATTTATTATTTTAATAATCTATTCTAGAAACATTATATTGACCTGAACAATTTTGACACAATTTATTTCTCTCTACTGAACGATCGCTAACAAATGATTAATATTTCATCCGATTTGAACTTGTTTTGTCGAAAATCTGTTTTCAACTGCCAGATAGAAACATTCTATAAGACGAAACAATGATAAAATAGTTCGAATTATCGATTAAAAATTTGTAAAGAAATAAATTTAATCAATCCTTATAAAAATGTTTTGAAAATAAATTTATTTGAATAGGATATTTATCGATATGGCTAAACAAAGAAATTCGAAAATAAAAAATGAAAATATTTTGTTTCTTTATATTTATTAATATAGAAGTAATGATGTACCTGATTAATACAATCGAGTTCGTTATATTCCAGATTCTTGTAAAGTATTATCTGATCTTTGGAAAATAAATAAAGATTTCGTAAGTTAAATAAAAGTATTGATAAGGATGTATCAAAATCATTGAAAGAATTTCATTTGAGTGATGTTGCACGTTGTTATCGTTCTCCATATAGAATAAATGGTGCTTTGTTGATTTTACATCAAACAATTGATGATTTAATTCAAATACATGATTTTATTGATTCAAAAAGAAAAGAATGGCTTAAATAATTTAAAAAGATCATACGAGCAAGCTAGAGATAAACAAGTATTTGCTTATTCATTGATTCATTTTTAATATAAGTCAACTATTCGTCAAACAATGACTGAACTAAGAGATAATTATGAAAAAGCTCAACGAAAATTAGAAACAGCTGATGCCAATTTAAAAAAAGTTTCCGTTTTTATTCTTCAAAATAAAAAATGTTCTAATTGCTTTGTTAAGATTTCAAACACGATCTGATCGTTTAACATTAGCAAATTTTGATGAACGTTTACGTAAATTAGAAGATATTCGTTGTGAATGTGAACAATCTCGAACATTATCACGTGATATATATGCAACTGAAACATATAAAATAGTTAGTGAAGAACATTCAATTACAATTAAACTTTTTTATCAATATTTATACGAAGAAAATCAATTTTATAATAATATATCTCGATATTTATCATCAAAAATGCCTGAAATTGAACAAAGATTAGAAAATGATGATTTAATTCTATTATTTGGTTATGATCTTATAAAACATTGTTCAAAAAAAAAAGAAACATTAATTGCTTATCCAATTGAAATATGTATTCGTCTATTAGAAAATAGTTTAAATGAAGAAGGTCTTTTTCATATTGCACCATGACATGGAAAACAAAAAAAATTGTTGCTGAACTTAACTTACAAACAATTGATAGAGGAACAACATTAAATGAACTTAATTATGATCCACATGTTCCTGCAAGTACACTTAAACAACATTTAAGAGAACTTCCTGATTGTTTACTTACAACTGCACTTTTACCACAATGAAATGAGATTATTTCACTCAGGTTAACACTTTTTTCTCTTTTTCTTATTCAATTATCCTAAACAAATTTATTTTCATTTATTGACCTCTAGCAAAGAACTGCCCCTTATGCACTGTCGATGCTCTCTTTCTGTCCCATGGGACGCGGCAAGAAGTTAGCTCTGGAGTCTTTATTTATTTACATAAATGAAAACTTGTTTATTTGAATTAATTATTTTGATGAGTTTATGAAACCTTCTTTCATTTTATAAATTCATGTTAATGATATCATGTTTGGGTATAAATTGCTGAGGATTATTTAGAAAAGGTAAGAGAGCATCATAATGATTTCCGATGAAATAAATGCATAAACTCAATTTGTTCATATCTGATTTGTACCCAATATATTTGAGATGACCACCTGCGGTTCCTTTATGGAATCGATCGATCAATTTTTGTAGACTGATATCGGATGGAACATAGTGTCCATTTTTTGAATCACTGTTGACTTTGACATAAGGCTATAGAAAGGGCTTGAATTTGAACTTCTCCACTCCATTTTTCGTCCGTAGCAGTTCTTGTCATCTATTCTTCAAATGAATAGTTCAATGCTTTGCAAATTCTTTTAAAATGATCACTATTATTAATCATTGCATTGACTGCTAATAGCCTCATTGACTGTGCTAGTCTTTCAAAACCAATATTAAGTATCGAAAGAGAATTATATAAACAATTGCCATCTTCAGTCGTGCAGGTTCTTGCGTAGACCGAGTCAAATGCTTGAACAGAATATTCTGTTTTCTGTCTTAGTTTAACAGATTGATCTTTGTTATGCACAGTTATATATGATGATCTTTCACGTGAATGATTAATTATTTGAGCTTGACTTAAAATTTGATTTATGACCACAGTATTATTATTAATATCATGTACAGAAAGAAAGTAATCAAGAATCTGTCTTGAGTTTAAATCAATGATTTCATGACTTTCGAAAGAAGATTCTCCCATCAACTTTCATTATACCATATTCATCATTAATTTTAAGATCTTTGAGATTAAAACATATATCTGTATAAATTTGTTCGTTTTCATCAACATGAGATCCAGTCACAATTGGATGTTCTCTTATCCATATCGGGTGTGGGTATCTTGTGAAAGAAGATTCATATTTACACCCACACCCACATGAAGATTTAATTAACAATTTAGAAACATTATTAATAAATTTACAACAAATAGAATTTGATAAAGTTAAACAACTTGAATTAAATGATATACGAAATATATTTGATGAGAAATTAAGAGAAAAATTTATCATTATAAACATAGAAAAAAAGAATATTTTATTGAAATACTTGTAGAAATCGAACAAGAAAGACAAGAACAACAATCAATTATTCAAGTTTCATATAAACAATCATCATAAGATAAAGAGAAATCATCTACATCAATAACAACAAATGCAAAAGAACAGCAAAAATCTAAATAAAATATTCATCTTATGTTTATAATGTCTTAATTGATTGAGCATCGTTTAGAATTATCACAATATTGAAGTTGGGATCTGCAAAATGACTTTTTTCCAGTCCCGGTCCCGGTCCAAATTTTTTTCGCGTCCGGATCTTTATTATAGCTAGAATTTTTTGTTTTCACATATATCAAAACTCAAAATCGGGTTTTCTTCAGACTATACACGTCCTACAAACATGTCGGCTGGCGAAGTACTATTAGAAGGTGAAAGGAATATCTGTGATTTGAAGAAGTGTCTTAGGATCTGCGAGACTAGAACTTCTATTTTCACGGCTAGTTTCAGAATTTTTTTGCAAGATTAAGCCTAAGTTTTATGTTTATTTTTCTATTCCCAATGAGTAATAAAGTTTTTCTCAAATATAGATGAGTACAACAAAACTAAGCGATTCACACTAAAAATAGCGGAAGCATAATAAACATTGTACAAATAAGGGGATGTTGAAACTGCTATCGAATGAAATCTATGGAATTTGAAGTAAGATACAAGATTGTACAAATCAGGAAGTTCTTATTTATATGATTTATTTTAATTAATCATCATCATCCAAATATACTTAATTGTCTCCAACTATAGTTTCATTTATTCAAAAAAAATTTTTAACAAAAATTATATTGATAAGAAAGGAAAGTATATATGAAAATTTTCTGGACGAACAAATGGTTCATTTATATGAAGGCCTTTTAATTTGCTGAAATTGAGACATGATATATCATTGATAAAATTATTTGTTATCATTGCAAGTGATTCATATTCAATGTAAAGATTGAACAAACACGGCAGATGAGTATTTTTTCTGAAGAGAAATTGTTCAGCATAATCCACATGTGCCGCTTGCAGATGGAGAAGTGTGAGATGCGAAAATGTAACCAACTCTTGCTTATCTTTTTGTGATTGATTATTACATATATATATATATAAATTTGAGAAAAGAAAAATCTTGAGAGATAACTTTAAAGAATTTATATTCAAACGGATGCGCATCAATCATCTTCAAATATCGAACTTTATTAAACATACCACCTTGGAAAGAGTTGTTCAGATAAAGAAAATATTCGAATTGAAAGGGAAGTGAGTAAATATGACATATGCCTTTCGTCTTCATCGATTCAGTATGTACGCATGAGCCAACTTGTCCATATCCTCTTCCAATAAAACTATGTTGAATATCTTTATGTGATGACAAATGAATATCATTGTTGACAACAACTGTAATTATACTGAATGTAAATTTATTTAATCGTGGCATATAAATAAGAAATTGATCATATAATTGAATACCATCAATAAAAGTCGAGTTAAATCTGATTATTGATAGAAATAATATCAATTCTTCAAGATTTATCATTCGACAAAGTAGTGGAATAATTAGTTTGTCATAATGTATTGTGTCATCGAACGATGTTAATGAAAAATGTTTCAATCTCGGAAGTTTTTCCTATAAAGAAAAAAGAAAATAATTAAATTAATGTTTTTTTTTTGTTTTCCAAAAAAAAATGATAAAAATAGCTTACCGTGTTATATTTACGTAATGACATTACGCAAATATGCTGTACATTGATAATCAATCTCGATAAACAATCGAGACAACCATCAAGAAGACAAAGACAATCACGAAAAGTTTTGATCTCAATTTTCAGTTTAGTTCAAGTTGAAGACATGCAAATTTTTGATGGTCGGGTAACAAGCCAAACAGACAAAGTTCGATAATGAAATAATTGACAAAAATTTAAACTGATTAATCTTTTCTTAATGATAATATTAAGGCAAACTTTTCTGAAAGACTTATAGTGGTTTGTGCTATTGTATCATACTGAATATCAATATTAAGATCTGTAATTTGTTTACTAAGAAGATTACGAAGAATTGAATCACCTTGAATTTAAAAAGAACAATGATTATTAATTTCAAAAAAAAAGAACATTTTTTCTTTAATCATCACACCCTTACTCTCATGCAGTACTTGTATACCACTTCAATCAATGTGAAGATGTGATTAAAGCAAAAAAAAAAACGTACCCAAAAAAATAATATATCTTTTGAATATTGAAAAAGTATTTCTTCTTGAAAATCAACAAGTGATAACGAATAAAGTTGAGGATAATTAACAGTAAGAATAGATTTTATGGAATATGAATCAACAGTCAATTTATTTACTTGATTATGAATTCGAGGTAAGATATTTTCATAAATTCTTGGAAAAACTTTATTGTATATTGAAATTATCTCATCAAAGGGTAATTCGATAGTCATATCAAGATGATGAATATAAAGAGGATCAATTACTAATCGATCAAATCGTTCATTAATATTCACAAGTGAATAAAGAATATCAACCATATATAGTTTCTTGAAAATATTGATTAACATTTCATTGGGCAAATAGAGTATATTCAAATTATTATTATTTGAATTATTCATGTCTAACTCAAACTATGTGTTCATGTCAATCTATATATGTCATCATTTTCTCACTGCCATCTGTGAGAACAACGAAGAATAAATATTAATACCGTCATGTTAGTATATGATGAATAGGTGATAGCATTTTTCTTTCAGCTACATATTTCCATTATAGTTGATGATTGGTTCAACCGTCAGGTCGTTCTTCTTTTGTCAAAATGTTTATCATGCAGCAAGGGGGAACAAACTGATTTCGATCGCTGAAATCAGTTTGAAATCACCTGAAATCAGTTTGAAATCATCTGAAATCACCTGAAATCAGTTTGAAATCACCTGAAATCAGTTTGAAATCACCTGAAATCACTTGAAATCACCTGAAATCAGTTTGAAATCACCTGAAATCACTTGAAATCACCTGAAATCAGTTTGAAATCACCTGAAATCACTTGAAATCACCTGAAATCATATGAAATCATCTGAAATCATGAAATCATGAAATCAGTTTGTTCCCCCTTGTCATGCAGTGTAAAAATATCGAAAAGGGAAAATGTCGAAGAATATCGACACGAAAAATGGTCAAAAAGTATTTTACAAAAATTTTAACTAGCGAAGGGCATGCTTTATTATATGGGTCAATACTAACATTCTAACAGAGATCAAACATAAGTCAAGAGGATGTGAGTGTGGTATGGGTCTGGGCAAGTAGAAGATCCAAATCCGCACACACATCCACACCCGCACCCAATCGATAGAGCTCATCAAGCTGCATCGAATGAACTATGTCTCATAAGTAGCTCACAAAGTCGAGCAAATCGTCACGGAGTCTACTGCTCCGGATCCCGATTTCTAGCATTTCAGGCATGTTGCACCCAGAATTTTGTTTTCATTTCAATGAAACATATACCATTCGATAGAGTGCATTAAGATGCAACGAATGAGCTATATCTCATGAATGGCTCACAAAGTGGAGCGAATCGTCAAAGAAAACCTTTTGTTAATGCTTTTTTCCTATAGGGCAAAATTAGTGTTTTTGTTTTCACTTGAATCGGATAGCTTTCATGGAGAATTTGATTACACCATTTGGTAGAGCTCTCTGAGCTGCACCTAGCTCACAGAATTCCTGCCTGAGTTGGCTCACTAAATGGTGCGAATCGTTTTAAAAGAAACTCGAATCGGCTGCTAACTTCCCTTACATCATGAAAATCAATTTTGACAAATGCAAAATTTTCAACTATATCAATTGATTAGATCTTCGACCAGAACGATGTTAAAAATGAATAAAAATATCTAATCATATTCACAATCAACATACTCAATGACAAAACAGACATCTTGAACATATTCTTATCGATTACCAGCCAATGCACGTAGACCAAATTCTTTTGTGAATATCACTTTTTAGTTCTGCATACTTCAATTTTGTTTTCTAACAAAGTACATCAAATGAACATTATATTCAGTAATCCTCAAGCAAGTGTATTGAAAAAGAAAATAGATACAGAAAATTATATAAATGTCAATTAATCATTCATTAGCTCTTAGCCAATTTGTTCTCTTATCTTTCGCTGCATTATTGACTGCTTCTTCCTTAATAACAAGTAGTTTTTTTGATTAGATATCAATACAATGTGACGACCGAATAGAGGAATAGCTTGACCATTGTTTGCACTCTCTTCATGACATTTTTCTATGCTTCCAAGAGTATCAAAACACTAGCAACA